AATGAATGCGAACATTAGAGATTTACCTTGGGACCCTTGACAGCCATATAATCACCCACACGCATCTCTCGGAAATGATGAGACATTCTTCCTTGTGGATACATCTACATATACATTATGCATTGCATCAAGGAAATGTTAACACTTCCCTACTATGACAAGTCTAACTACTTCTTTTTCTTTTGCTTTACAATTCTTCTGCTGTACCTTGATGACTAATTCAAAATATCCAACATCAGAGTCCAAGGTAGTTGGAGTGTATGGTTTAATAACCTCTTCACCTTGACTGTCTTTACCCCTGCTTAACACAACAGCAGGACGGAACCATTAAATTTGTTGGCAACGAATTAGCTAGTTCCATCAAACTATAACACTAGATTTGGGTAGCAGAAAATGCTATCCGAAGGAAACTTTGGATATTTGTGTTTCGGGATGCTGAGAAAAGTTAACTTTATTATGTCTCACTTTATGTGGAGTACAATGTAAATGATATTTTTTGGATCTCCAAACCAGTACTTACCTTTTGTTTGTTTTGCCTTTCCATTTTAAGGCGCCCAAAATAAATTTTGTCTTAGTTTGTGGTTCACATTCATCCTTACTGTAACAAATTCAATACCAACCATACAATCTTACTTTCCCTAAAATTTTGTGTGAAACCCCATGGTCCCATACTTAATGAGACAGAGGTATTATATACTGAGATATTTTTAGTGCTCATAGAAACAAAAAAAAATTAAAATAATAATAATAATAATGAGGTTGAACAAATATTTAAAATAAACTACTCCAGATTGAGTGTAAATATTCTATTTTCCTCAAAAAAATCTTTCCTTCCGATCTTTCTCTCTACTTTCCTCCCTAGTGTCTTTCCCTAGAAGTTCCAGAGTTCCAAACAAACCCTAGGTATAAAGCATTTCAAAATGATTCATCAGAAATATAAACCAATCAAACCTGCAACTAATGTGCTGTCCAATGGGCAAGCCCAAAACAGAAGTGGGTGTTGGAAGCTCAAATCTAAACTTTGCCACATTAGGACTCAAAGGTGTACGCTTCACGAGCTTGAATTCCTTGAATTTCTCAGGATCCAAAACACCTACGCACCCATGCATTTCATTCTATTAATTATTCCTTAAAATAACCCAATTCAAGAGAATGCTCAATAGAGGGGAAATTATATAACTGAGACCACATCAATGGTGAAACACATACAGAGGGAAATTCTTCTTTTCGGAGAGACCACCTCAGATTTTATAAAGTGATCAAATATACAAGCTCTTATGCACTTACATATCAATAAAATAATATTAAAAACTGAATTCGAATTTGCAAGATTATACTACTTTTTTTTTGGAAGGCAAGATTATACTACTTATTTTGTAAGAATATGGGAAATTACAGTTCATACCTTTGGGCTTCTTGGAAGAGTATACATAGGCTGCAGCGGCAGCGGCTAGCAGAGCAACGGCAACCCCAATAAAAAGCTGAGCTTCGGGTTTCTCAAAAAAATCCATAATTTCAAAACCTGGTGTAAGAAACAAGCCTCAAATTGGTCACCATGAAAGCAAGCAATATAGAAGAAAAGACAGAAAGTCAGAAAGATAACTACTATTTTGGCATATTTCAATAGATCTGCAGCACAATCTATCTATATATGAAACTTAATAAAAGATCCAAAGACCAGGTGGGGCTTAATTATTTTGTTGTGCCATACAAAAAAAATGGTTCCTTTTTTTTATTTGCACAATACAATGATCCAAATCTGAAGCAGTCAATGGCTGAGGTACATGGAAATGAATGAGAAACAAGAAAAGAAAAAGAGGAAGAGAGTCTCACCTACTCGCTCCTCACTGCTTATAGATTCTTGGCATTGACGAGAGAGGAGCTGTTGAGTCTTTATATATATACCTACCTGCTCAGGCCTTTTAAATTCTCAATTTAAGAGTATCACATAAGTATCTCAATTTAAATCCTCACGGTGGCATGAGAGAGAGTCACATAAATATTAGCAAATAAATTATCTCTCTCCTTATTTGATTGACTTTGTACAATTTTGGTAAGATTTTCTTTGCAATGTCAACAAGAATGTCAAGATCTAGACGGTCTTTTTGACATTGTCAAAAAAACTTACCAAAACCATATACAATCATTCAAATAAGGAGAAAGATAATTTATTTGTTAATATTTATGTGGTTATCTATCATGCCATATGTGCACCGTGCACATTTTGGCATTGGAGATGCTCTAAGAATCGGCACTGTGCAGTGTAATTGGTTCAAGTTTTGTAAATAGGTGGAACAGGAACCTCTTTTACCTTACCCTATTGACTTTGTCCTAAGAAAATGGTAGTACTCCCATTTAACGGTTCTGCTGTTTAGTAAATAAAATTTAACGGTTCTGAGGAAACTACATTACAAGTTTTTTAATAACTGATCAAGAAAAAATAAATTAGAAAAAAGTATGATACAGAGTATATAAAATAAAAGATTAGGAATAATTCACATTGACCGGAAAATAGTCGACGAGAATCTTTAAATGGGACGAAGTGGGTACTTTCTTTGACCAGTGGCAGATAGGGTCTCGGGAAAGTTCCCGAAATAGGACTAAAACAGTTTAAAAATTCCAAAATAGGACTGTAATGTTTTTTTATTCCCAAATAGGAGTAATTACTGCCATGTTTGGAAAATACTGTCATGTTTGAAGTCTGATACTGTCAAAATATGACAGTAATTAGTCCTATTTTGGGAATAAAAACATGACAGTCCTATTTTGGAATTTTCAAATCTTTTTAGTCCTATTTCGGGTAATATTCTTATATGGTCTAAGGTTCAAGTTTTGTACACGCTATGTATATGAATAGGTTGTTCACAAATAAAATATTATTTGTCTACGAATAAGTTATTGACAGATCAATTCAATCTATCCACATACACGTGTATAGAGTGTGTCTAAATGAGTGTGTGCAGTGTACAACAAGGTAATATAAAATGTTTGATAAAAAGCATTTGTAACACAAAATGTTTGATTATAATAAAAAAAAACATAAAATGTTTGATAAAAAGAAAAGTAATTATTTGCATGTAAAATGTAGGGATATAGAGTGTCATTGAATGTAATTATTAATATCAATGGACACTTTTTATACATTTCGTATTGTGACATAAAAATATTTTATGTGAGGAGATTAAAATATTTTGCATCCTTTTTAATTCATTGTCACAACTTTGAATGTAATTTAAAACTACATTACATAGCTAACTGAATGATGTATTTTATTTTGCATAAATAATGATTGTTTCATAACTGAATTTTCTAGTCAGGATGATACGAAATTTGATCCCTTCTCATTTTTTGGGCAGTTACGCAATGTTTTAATGAGCATACCAATAATACAAAACAAGCCTAAAATGTTTTAATGAGCATACCAATAATACCAAACAAGCCTAAGGATTACGGTAATACCATGATACATTTTTTATTGATCAATTTATTTTTGATTATATTTTTTAAAGTTTAGTGAAGTAACATACACACTTCGTAATTACTCTTAAAAGTTAAGAGTGAGATATTATGAGTAGTGAATCATGTTGAACAAGTGTAAAAACTACTTCGTAAAAAGTACTATGTACTATGTATGAGAGAACAAATGAAAAGTAGAAAGAATAAAAGTAATTAAGTATTTGTAGATTAAAATACTTAATATCAGAGAAATCATCATGTTAGGCCGGCCAGACCGGGAGAGCCGTCCGGCCGAGCCCTTTTGGCAACCTTCCCGGTGGAATTTTTTGATTAAAGTTTTTGAGCATGTTCATCATCAAGTCTAGTTTGTCCATACCAAATTTCAGCTCAAAATTCGATCGGGAAGGCATTCAAATCTTTTTTTGAAGTTGACTGCGTTTTTATATGTATATTTTGACGCAATCAACTTCAAAAAAAGGTTTGAATGCCTTCCCGATCGAATTTTGAGCGAAAATTTGGTATGGACAAACTAGACTTGATGAGGAACATGCTCAAAAAAATTCATCAAAAAATTCCACCGGAAAGGTTGCCAAAAGGGCTCGGCCGGACGGCTCTTCCGGTCAGGCCGGCCTGACAAGAAGAGTTCTCCTTAATATCATCATACTCCATAATAAAGTTAGAGGTAATAATTTTCATTTAAAAAAAAGTTCGGGGGAATAAAATATATATGGAAAGCATAATTTTGCAAGTAATTATTTCTACATACGAAGGAGGTAACAAAAACATTGGTTTCAAATGTAATTACTATGATTTGCTTTAGATTATTTTAAAATTTATTTATAATCCAAATATTATACTTCTTACAATGGTGTTAGATTGTTAGTAAATAAAAGAATATATATTGATGTGGTTATAAACAATTTCACAAGTTGTATATTAACTGAATTATTAAATATACTCCCTACATTTACAAACCTCAAATACTGTACTATCCATTGATAGAAAATCCAAAGGCATCATACATTTAGCCTTCGCAAAACAACTACCAAGTACCAACTGGTAGCCAGACGCCCCCACGGCTTCCTCTATCCTACCTACCCTTCAATAAAATTGATACTCCGTACTTTATTCCTTGCTTCCCAGAGTAAAAGAAAATCTCATGAAAGCATCTAATCTAATCCAAAACTCCAAATGTGATAAAAGATGATATTCTAATGCTCCAGTTGTAGAAAATGCTTGGGAAAAAAATAGAGAGGAAAGGGAAAGGGGAAAAATGAGGAATGTAAATATAAAAATGAATGCTAAAAAAATACTACCTCCGTCCCACTAAGATTGAGACATGAAAAAGTGGCACGGTTATTAAGAAAAATGTGTTTGTGTGATTGACATTAAATTGATAAAGTAAGAATAAAGTAGAAATGATTTAGAGCCACACAAACTTTACCAAATTTGGTATGGGACAATCTTAGTGGGACTTCCCGAAAAGGTAAAATGGGACAATCTTAGCGAGACGGAGGGAGATTACATTTCGTCCTCCTATGCATTTTCCAGGGAAATCCAGGCACAACAATATTCCTAGGCATTTTATTTTCTTTCCTCAAGTATTTCCGGGACTCCAGGAGTACAAACATAGAATTGATGTTTAGTATGTCCTTGTATCTAGTTAGGCTGTATATGCGTTTACAAAAGTTAGAGCTGTGAAGAAAAACAATTCAGCAAAATACCGCTGCTTATTTTATTTCATTATTGTTATCATCGTTTTCCGTTCTCGTAGGTTCATCATTAGAACTCACAACCGGGTGATTCATTCTATACTGTGTAGAAGACGTCAACCGCCTCTCCATTGGGGTTTTTCTCTTGCTAACGACAAACCTATTAACCCCCTTGCGCATTGGCATTATCGTTGGGAAGTCTTCATCGGGTATCTCACTAAGCTCAGATATGTCTTTTATTTGAGATACACGCTTGAACCACCTCTTCGTTTTTGCCTCTTCAGACATGTCCAAGGGATCTTCTGCTTCCTCCACCCCACTCCCCTCTAAGCTCTTTCCTGTCCACCCACTGTTCCTTAGGTTCTGTTTGGAGTTGGATGCAGTGTCTTTCTCGGTACCTCCTGTGTCTTTATCCAGCTTATCATCTGGTGACTGGGTTTCCTTGGTAGCAAAAAAACCAGGTGGGAATGGAACGAATGGGACAAAATCCTTATTGATTTCCCTTTTGTTCATTCTTGAAGTTAACGAAGAATAATCTTTCTTCTGCATGATCTCTGGAAACTCGTTATGCAGTTTCTCCATTTTTGTAAACCAGCTTTCTGGTTTTGCAGCTTTCTCTTTATTTTCATCTTCAGTAAAGCCATTATTAAGGACCTGTTCTCTTGGCCTGAAAGAAAATGTGACCTCGTTTGAGTTTTTATAATCCAGTCTGACTCTTTCTGCAATGAACAGAACCTTACTAATATGAATGTTTCTCATCTTGTAAAACTAAAATCCTATCTGGTCTAGTCTGATGGGACTGTTTCTGATATGATCAGGTCTAATCATCTGAATGTTTCTGATCTTGTTTGAAATATAAAAATCTAGTCTGGTATGAAATTTTTGGTGTGGTCTAGTCTTTCAGATCTTGTCTGGTTTTCTATTTCGAAATATGAATTGGGTCTGAATCAGTGAATCTTTAGGATCTGGCCTAATCTGATTACAATAAGAATAAATATTAAGCCAAACAAAAAAGGCCGAAGGAAAAGCACCTATCAGAGTTCCCTTTGTATGGAGAGTTGGGCAGCATCCTCTCCAAAGGCGTCTTTCTTGTTGTGCTCACAACAAGCTTCTTCTCAGGGAAGTCCTCTTCATCAGCTGCAGTGTCATTGATTTTACTAAACCGAATTTGTGCCTTTGGTTCATTCTCAGAAAACATCTCATCTGTTTCAGTTTTATTATAAGCGTCCCCCAAACTTCTAGTATCGCTGTTGACTGAAGCCTCGGCAGGTCGTTTAGAATTGCATCTAAGGCAGACCATATTTCTTCCATAGTTGAAGAAATCACATCTGGGATAATGCACAAAGAGGGAGCATTAAGATGATAATTATGGCACACTACAAAAGGTACTTCCTCCGTTCCAGAAAAGGTCCAATGTACAACTTTTAAATTTTATTAAGGTATAACTATTGAAAATAATCGATTATAGCTACTACTTCCGTCCCTTTTTATTTAGTCATCTTTGACTTTTCCAGTTTTAACTAAAGATGGTAAACTTTGATTAATTATTTTAACTAATATGTTTATGTGAAATTCAATAAATTTACTTTTATGATAGTATTTTTAACATAGAACAATTTCATATCATTTTCATATTTTCAATACTACCATGTATAAATATATAATCAGTCAAAGTTGTTTATATTTTCATATTAACATCATTGACTTGAAAAGTCAAATTTGGCTAAATAAAAGGGGACGGAGGGAGTATATTTTTTGAATTTATTTGTTGGTTTAAGTGTTTAACTAAATTTAACATTACTTAAGTTGTTAGGGACCATTTATATTTAAAAGATCAAATGTAATGGAAATTAACGTGTTAAAATAGGACTCTTTTTCGGAACAAAAATGAATTTTCAAATACATGTCTTTTCAAGGATGGAGAGAGAGATGTAGATAGCATAGTTCTCACTTGGGGCATTCCCATTCCCCGCCTGTTAGCTGTCTTCTTGGTCTAAGTTCCTCACACTCGAGGCACTTTATATTTCTTGCAAAGTTCATAAACTTGCACCTGTTTAACACTGAATCATGTTAACTAGCATAAAAATTTCAAAGACTTGCCAGATCATTGGATAAAATGGCAGAGTCAATGACAGAGAGAAGAATATATAATTTTCAAAGTGCAAGAGTATTACATACTTTGGGCAAATCCAGTCACCTCTCTTCATCACGATGTTTTTCCCAGCAGGCCATGCAGTTTCCCCAGCTCGGCCTGAAAACTGGTGAACTCCTGGAGGAGGCAAGACAGAGGCAGGAGGTCCCCAGCCAACTTCAACCAATTGATGCAAAAGGTTTCTAATAGAAGTTTCTAGGAGTTCCCGACTATACACAGTATTGCATCCGGGAGAGCCAGCAGGATTGCTGGCATAACTTATTATATACTTCATAATATCAATTGTATGCACATCACCACGATCTAATGCCTGAAATGTAATTATAGTATTTTAAAATTAGGATTTAAGGTAAAAACAGAGCACATGTGATCAGTGCTGATTAACTAACAGAATAAATTAATTAACTGTTCATTTTAAAGATGCATAACAAAACCTAAGTCATCCCTCCATAGCTTCTCCTTTTTACAATTGTAACCTTCTAAAAGGAAGAAAAGTAGTATGGGTTCACACAAAGTATAAGGTGAAATCATAAAAAAAAAGTGAGCTCAGATTAGGACAACGATCATAATTTGAGGCACACAAAAACAAAAGAGTATCTAAAAAATGGAATAGAGGGAGCATTGTGAAAGATCCTCCCCTCTTCCCTCCACTGCCCTATTGACCTATTGTTCCTTCATGGTAATAAAGTGTGGAGTAATCCTAACACACAAGAACTTGTATGTCAATGCCATACCATCATTATATAACGAAAGAGAATTTCATAACATTTTATTATCAGAAATTCTGGCATTCATTTCACGTACATGGTTTCCATCAATACCAAGAAATGCCCTCATTCTGCGTGCTGTTTCAAGAGCTGTTCTGAACAGAAAAGGTGTTCCATTTGTCACGACCACTTCAATATCCCTCTTCGAAAGTGAACTGTGTAACCATTTAAAGGAGAAAGAATTAAACGTTTCCGGCATTAACTCTTTAACACACATTCATTATTCTCAGGTAACAATATTTATGATATACTTCATCGTTTCCAGCAAAAAAAGTTTGTGGGAAAACATTGTTCCCTCGACATTTACAATTACAACATTGTATAACATAAGTTGTACAAAAACATACAGATACATAAGTTGTACAAAAACATACAGATTCATGTATGGTCTGCCATGAGTTCCAGAGTATGCTATAATAATAAAACAATTTCGGGTAACAATTCCAGTTTCCAAGAGCATAACTAAGTGAACTAAGAAGATAAAAGGTATCAAACCCTAAAAGATTCGGCCTTTGTCGAGCAAACGCTAAGCACGCACTGGCAGCCTGAAGAAAATCATATGGCAATTGCTCGTATGCCACAAACCCATCATCCTCGGGGGATACTCCGTGCTCCTCCACCTTTACATCTGCAGATATCGCGTTGATTAGGTTGCACCATTCTTGCCACGGGTGGGTTGTGGAAGAAAAAGAGCTATGCGTGCTACTCACTGGCAGGGCCTCAGATTGAAATGGTCGCCGGAAAGTAGTGAGAGGTGTCCTGGGGGATGATAAGAGGGCGGAAGAATTTCCGGTGAGGCGGCGAGGAGGGGTGGAGAGGCAGCGGGCGAAAGTAAGGGAACGCCGATGTAGAAAGCAGCAAGGGCGGTAAAATAGGGTGATGGGTGAATTAGTGGTACTGAGAAGTGTAAGGAACTTTGAAGAGGCATTCATTGTGGGGTGAACGAACGGGGATGCGGCGGCGATTGGAGTGGTTTTTGCCAGTTCTGAGTTGCTATTGAACTGGCAACTGACTTGGTGGGGAGCGGATAGAAATGACGAACTACCGGTCCGTGGTCCTTGGAGTCGAACCCACGGTTCAAGGTTCCACGCTCCCGAAAATCTCAGCAGCCGCATACCACTATCCCTAAAGTTGTAAAGCGACAAACCCGGTATCCACTTAAAAAACGGGATATCGTACCTAACACTCACATGATTGATCCAAATCATTAAATTATTCTTAATTTAGATTTAAATAATGGTAGATTCTACGGTACTCATAAGGTATCATATCTTTGTCCACATGGACCAATGAGAATGTTGCAGTTGAATTATTTAAATCTAAATTAAAAATGATAAAGTGATGTGGTCCAATCAAATGAATGATAGGTACGGTACCCCATTTTTTAAAAGGGTACCAGAGTTGTCACCTTAAATAATTCAACTACAATATTCTGATTGGTCCAAGTGAACAAATGTATGGTACCTTTTGGGTACCATAGAATCTACCAAGTTGTAAACAACTGCTACCTCCGTTCCCTAAGTTTGGGACAAAGGGGTGCGGTGTGGTTTTTAAGAAAAGGTAGAATTGTGTGGTTGATATTGAATTGATAAAGTGTGAATAAAGTAAGAATGAATTGTAACCACCCAAATATTACCAAATATGGTATGTGACAAACTTGATGGGACGGACGAAAAAGGTAAAACGGGACAATGTTAGGGGGACGGAGGGAGTACATACGTATATATCATCCGCACTTTATAGTAGGGTATTTTAGTTTATACGAATATATAATTTAAATGAAAATGAGTATTAGTATTATATTACTGCGTATAAAATTAACACAATAAATATTTTTCATAGCAATACAATGATAATATAGTTAAATGAATAAGTTGATTTGTAACATAATATTACTACCTTCGTCCCATAATGGTTGCCTCATTTCAATTTGACACGTTTATTAATAAAGTGGTTGAAATGTAAAAGTTGTGGTTGAGATTTGAGTAGAATAAAGTGAAATTATATGGACCACAAATTTCTTACAAAAAAGGAAACATGACATCCATTTTAGAACAACCTAAAAAGTAAAATAAGACAACCAAAATGGGACGGAGGGAGTATATTGTACACTTCTAAACTCAATTGCATTACCAAAACAATGATAAAATACCCGGTTGTACGATAAGCACCGTATAAGAAGGTGTATGGTATACATACTTCGTGTTGGGGCGTACCTCATCTAGCCGGAAGAAAATGTCATAGGGGACATGTAGAAGGTTCAAAACTTCATTTAAAACTTGGAATAGAATTCACTCATCTGTCAGTTGTGATTAAATTTTAATTTACATTCTTTCATTTAACTATGTGGTCGGTGCCGAGGCCCTCAAGGACGGGTTTCATCCTTTTTTGTCTAGAACTTGCTCTTTTTTTACGGGAGTGTTTGTGATTGCTTTTACTTTAGAAAAGTCAAGTGATTGTTTTATGAGAGTCTCTTGCTTCTAATTTTTAACTTGTAAGTTCTCAATGTAAGCAAAAATTGAAAAAGTGTCCGCCCTCATATTTCTACCTCTCAACTCAACTTGGACCTTATTCCCAACAACTACCAAACAAAACCCACCCACTATAAACAAAAAGAGACTCCAATCACAAAATGAAAGTTAAGTCTCAAGTTCTAACAAATTGTAGGAGAAAAACTAAATAAAGGACGACGAAGGCTCTTCTTGACGCTTCTCCTTGTCTCTATAGTCGTAATCCTTCTTGTTCACTTCTAAAATCAGTCACCTATGAGAGCTCTCATCCGGCAATGCTAAGCTTCCCGATGCATTCTCACACTTATTCATGCTTGCCCCACGATTTCCTATACCATACCACGTTGGCTCTACAATGAGCACCGTGCATGCGGTGACATTTTCGTAATTTAAATAATAATTGTGGCTTCCGTTACATGAGTATTAATGTACTTTTAGTAAACATCAGATATATCCTACTGAGATTTGAGAGTCTAATAATGAGCATCCTGAACTCGGCTTCGTATCTTATAATTCACTTTATTTTCTTATTTTCAAAAATATTTACAATGAACCCGAATGAATCCAATATGTGAATTTAATGTAATATTATACTTTTGAGATATGCATGAATATGACATTTTAAAATGAGTATAACATCAATAACAAATTAGTATACATAAATAACGAAACGAGTATCGAAAAATTAAAAAAAGCTCATTTAAAATATTTACTATGCAGCTATGCTCATAAAGGGAAAAAAAATTATGTATATCTCAGATTCTCAGGCTCCTCGCAACATGCGACAAACAAGCGATCAAAGTCACCAAACCTCCGTAAAATAGCGCCGAAGTATACATCCGGCGGAACCGCCGTTTCTACGCAAGCTGAAGGACGAGGTGTTGCGTTCGTACTGGAGGACAAGGTGTTGCATTTGTGCTGGAGAAGAGATCGTTGCTAGTGGCGAGTCGTACGATGGTGAGCGAAGCGATGAGCCTGATGCGAATGACAATAGGAGCACAACCGGAGTAAAGTCTGGATGTACCATTCACATGGTGCAGTGGAGTGTACAATATGGTCCATATTAGAATGAGAGATTCTCCTCCTCTTGATGCTTTGCTCTCTTGATGCTTTGCTCTGTAATCAATTATGGAGTATTTGTTATCTTCCATTAGAACTACTACCACTGTCTCAAAATACTTAGTAAAATTCGGACCATGATTTGAATTAGTATAATATTATGAAAGTTATAAATTTATACTCTTATGAAAGTACTTTAAATAAAAAACTTATTTTTATCATTTCATATTTTAAATAATCTCCAATAAAAATATACTGTCAATCAAAATTTTAAAGATGATTAATTATTTTACGACTAAGGTAGTAATACTTTTTAAAACATAAATGAAAGAGTTTTTCATATTGAAATCAATCCAAATCCAATTACCTTTTTCCCTCCTCAGGTACATTTTTCTTTTGAGAGTTTTACCTAAGGCACATACTAATATTTTGGTTCCACTTTCCATTGCAGTTTTTTGTTCTCTTTTTTATACGTGAAGATTTTATTTTATTGATTAGGTAATAAATATCGTTTGACGAATTACATGAGTCACACAATAATGTACATGTTTGAGAAAATTGAGAAAATGTCCTCTTATAATGTCATGAAAGCATATTATAACGCAAGCGCCATAAATTTGTTTGTTCTAATTCAAAAAAAAAAAAATCATAAATGCAACTTCACAGTAGCAATGATAGTAATGCAGCAATGTTTTTTGTTTATTCATAAAAAATAAATTATGTCGAGTATCTTGTGATCTGATGACATCATTACTGATCTCCTAAAGAGGATGTCGCAAGTTCGAATCTTGTCTCAATCAAGGATGTTGGCATTAACCAAAGCAGATACTATAATAACTTTAAAAGATCATTCCAAAAAAATAATATAAGGAGTATAATATTTCAAGGGAATTAGGAAAGATGATTCAAGCACTCAGTTATTATACTCTAAACACATACCTGCGATTGTATAAACTATGATGCTAGTATTTTTTGCACTAGTCACAGACCTTACTCTAAACACGATTTTCTACTAATATACATAATAGAAAATAATCAATTTTCTACAAATAATCAATGTTTATACACTATACTACGATTGTATAAACACAATGTTCCAAAAAATACAATGTTGCAAGAATTATAGATCACATTGCTAGTATAAATGGTTTCCAAGTCTTGTACGGAAGCAGAAATCATAGTTGATCGAGTCCACAGTTTGAAACAGTAAGTTACAATATATAGTAAATGGTTTCCAAGTCTTGTACGGAAGCAGAAATCATAGTGTGATTGAGTACACAGTTCGAAACGGTAAAGGACTAGAAACCTTCTTTCTGCCACACGAGTGTGTTGTGCCTATGTTAGTGTAACTATCTCACTACGAACTCGATCATCATGATCACACGAAGAAGATTATGAATGACTATCATTTTGTAACAGATATGTAATATGATCTTATTGTTTCTCATGTGCACACTAGACAACAGCTAGGTATATTTTAAGAGCCTTTTTGCAAAAACCATTTATATTCATACGAATGGACCTAAAGTCCCAAACTCATTTAAGTGTACAGTTTTCTGAGATAGATTACGTATATACCTATTGATATAACCAAACATCTAGCATGGTTAAGTCTAATTTTCTTTCTCATAATGGATATAGTATGACTTCGGACAGATTGGTCCAGATCATGCAAAGGCTGTAACCAAAATCGCCAAGCTGCATTATAATACCAGCTCTGGTTTCGATCCCAGTCAGGTTCCTGCTCATTCCATACCAGATTTTGAAACAAAATATGGAGAGGAGGTGGGGGCATCTGGTATGTACACATTTAGATGATCAAGTCTTGCATAGAATGATCACTCAAGTCATCATCATCACTTCAGTGCCGCAAAGGATCCCCACCTACATTGGGGTAAGGAGAATCAGATGTACGCAGTCTTACCCCTGTACTAAAACACATAGAGACTGTTTCCGAATAACTCATAGAAAAATCCGCGTCGAAAATTACATGGACCGACTACTGCTTCATGACAAAGAAGCATAGACAGTTTAGTGAGCCATTTTGCTTTATTCCATCATATTTCCAAGCCAAAAAAATAGTGAGTCCTTAGTTCCATTGCAAATGGTGAGAATGATCACTCAAGTAAGCTACAAAAATTATATGTAATACTTCCCTAGCTATAAAAATAATTTAGTTTGTAAATTGTTGTCAGGTGATTATATTCCTAAGCTTACTTTTAAGTTTATAAACTGTTGGGTGGCTCTAATCCTAAGCTACATCGCTCACTTTCTCAATGACGGTCTTTTCTACTACCTCAAGTCACCCTCTTTATTTACAACTACAGGCAAGCTTTCCCCAAACATAAAATCTATCAGCCTGTGTTTACTGCTGCTTCATGACTGAACACCATTTATTGAACCCCACATGAAAATATCTTTCAAGTGCCAAGAACAAGACACAAAAAGATTTTATGCATCCTCACTCCTTGAAGGAAGCAAATTTCGGAATACTGCATCTTCTAGCAGGAAGATACCCATAACTAGGGGTTCTTTGATTCTTTCTCAGTTAAGTTGAGCAGAGAAGGGACTATTTCTAAACCACCTCCCAGTGCCTATTACTTTTCCTTGCATCGATGGTACCGCTAGCCCTTCAAAAAGAATTTATCGAGTGTAAATACTTGCAGTCTTAACCAAAACTGGGCGGAGTTCACCATATCCCTAAAGCAGGAAATGTTTATACATTTAGAATAAAATGGCTTGAAATTCAGAAAATTGTACCAGTAGTTCTTTTACTTATTTATATTAGACAGTAAGATTGCTGCATTGACAAAAATGAGGAGTTACTTCTAGAAGTTCTCTCTTTCATCTACTTTCTATTATCATCTGCCAAACAGAAATCTTTTAGTAGATGGCAGATGAAACTGCCATATTTCTCACATCTCGATACAACTTACAAAAAATGCACTAAATCATTGTAGCAATTATAGTTGTAATCAAATATTTGTTATGTGAAGATAATTGGTGATGCGTGACACTGTATCTCAAGGTAGTATCTAGGCACATGCGAGAAATACAAAGCAATTTCTTCATTTTTTCTACTTTTGACAATACGGGTGTCCAAAACTATTTTGGCCCAAATTATCCTGCGAGCCCAATACTTAAAGACCAGGTAAACCTTCAGCGAACCTCCAGGGGTTCAAACTAGCAACCTCAAAGAACTTCCTTGGTTATAGCCAGTTGAACATCCCTGGAAGGTTAATTCTTCAGTGTTTTAAACTATTAATGTGTGGTCAAGAATCATCATCATGGTTAACAATCTTAAGTTTCACCAAAGAGTTTTTGCCACTTTCAGTCCCCCGACTGTTGTGTCAATGACAATTTGATACCCAACGTTTAATTTTTCCATTTTTAGCCCTCGGCTATTGTGCAAAAGACACTTTTAGTCCTCAACTTCAATTTTTCACACATTTAGTCCCCTGAGTATTATCAAATTGACACTTTTAGTCCTTCCACTATGTGTTTGGCACAATAAGTGGAGGACTAAAAATGTCATTATTATAATAGTTGAAGGACTAAAAATGAAAATTGAATGACTGATTGTAGAAATTTATAAAGACGGGTATCAAAAGTGTCTTTCGCACAATAGTCAAAGGACTAAAAGTGGAAACAATCAAAGTCGAGTACCAAAAGGTACAGTGACATAATAGTCGGAGGACGAAAAGTGTCAAAAAAATCTTTCATCGAATGGAAACCTATGCTATATGCCGATATGCAGAGTACGTATACACATGGAAAAACTACATTCTTCAAGTGAATGTTAAATGCATAATTCACTTAGCCTTGGTATCAAGAGTTGAAATTGAGAATGCTGTAGTGACCTTACACTCAAAAGCTTGATATAAGACCAATGCCCAACTCCTCGGCAAGCTCATCCCATACCGGAAGAAGAATCAACACTCCAAGAATTACAGCAACAGAAAGAAGTGTTTTTCTCCAGGTCCCAACCTCTGTCACATCATTCAAGCAAGGCTTCTCTGGTGTCCTCTGTGCAATAAAGAACAGAGAGTTCAAGTTCAGGAGAGAGACTGTAATTGAAGCAAGATGAAATCATTTTTTGTCTCATTCGGTCATTCTATTTATCGTGGAATTGAAATTTAAATTACCTGGCATATTAGCACGTATAATCCCCATGGTAGTGACAATGGTCCACCAAGCTGGGACAATTGACAAATAAATTTTTTATGAGCATTTATTTTCTGGAAATTACACAGCAAAAATGGTGACCCACTGAGACATGACTAGAAGAAATTGTCTGTTAGTAGATTTTTTTTCACTACCATATGATATACTTTATACACATTAAATAATACAGAAAGCACTGTTTTAAGTGAGGCAATTCACTTATCTGAGAAATTAGCTTATGCTCAGGTGGATAGAGAGGCTGACTTGACTTATTATGTGACAACTGACAAAAATCAGGTGACACATTATGCTGACTGCCCGACTATGGGAATTAGAGAATGACATTTTTTTGAATAAATTTAAGAAGTGTAAGTAGCAGGTAGCTGAGAAGAAAGAGCTTGTCAGGATAATCCATTGTGAATCGTCATCACATCAAGCTGAAGAAAGCACACCACCGCTACTCTCACCAGGTGCCTCTCAAGTCTCAATAAATTGACCAGAATGAATAGCAATGAACATTATAAACAAGTTCAGCCGACAGAGCCAGCTTCAACATTGAAACCACCCAAAAGGGCTGAAAATCAACAATTTAAATATGAGGTCCCAATCGAGATGCCCTGAGGCTTACCACTCCTAGTCCCAACATTGTATAGCTTGCCAGACCAAAGGCAATCAATGCATTTTTTCCAAAAGCACCCTGCCAGAAAGGAAAACAGACCATCATTAGTCAAACCCCAAAAGATCAATGAGGGAGGGAGGGAGAAAGAAAGGGCAGTTTGATGCACAAAGGAATCCTCTCAAGGCGAGGATCTGGCCGTCTGGTGAAGGGTCCCATCACAAGGGTGTACAAGGGGCAAGCCTTCCTAGTCAATTTTGAGAAAAGGCCGCTCCCAAAACTTGAAATAACCACTCGGTCACATACAAACACCTCAACTGGTGCGCCAACGCTCCCCTTCTATTGTAGAAACTAGACTTTGGAAAAGAATCATCATCCTTCTAAAATGTGTGTGCGATTGGCACATCATGTATGGTGGTGTTGAAAACCGACACAATACTTTTAGTCGTTATGAAATGATTTCTTAGCTTCTTAGGAGAGTCATTATCCCAACTTCAACCAATTATGGATACTATATTTATAAATAAAAGTTACCTGCACAGCTCTCCCACCATCAAGAGACCCAACCGGAAGCATATTGAAAGCTGATGTAGTTAAGCCACACCTGCCATCACAACCTTATAATAAACTTGCAAGTTGTAAGTAAGGAAAAGTAAAAAGTGTGAAATTAAGTATTTACCATCCAGCAATCACAAAAGGATGGATTGAAACTGAAGTTGCATGGAGTTCTCTGGGTTGGGAAGTACATAGTCAAATTCCAAATATTAGGTAATGCAGATGAATATGGAAATGCAATAATATCTTAAATGTTAATGACACGATATAAATGCTCTTCCTAATTTCTGAACATATAGCAAAATACATGCAAGCACAGAAAGAGCATCTTTTAAAGATCGGGAAATGTAGTTGAAAATTATGTTCTAGGAACTCTTATTGAAGTTTTGAAGGCTAAACTCACGAATAACCAAGAGTAGCTCTACTGACAAGCCCAAGAAGCAAGGACCCCTGGAAAAGTGTGCTAGGAACCTGAACCAAGTCTCCTGAAGCATTTGGGCTTGAAGAAAGTAATAGCCCAATGGCAAACATGGCAGAGGACAATGCAGCACCAGCAATTGGGCCAGCTATGGAAATGTCAACCTTTGCTTTTCGGTCAGGAATAATAGACTTGAACTGCAGCACCAAACACAAAGTAAGTAAACAATTAATAAGAATGACACATGGCATTTCCCTAGTCCTGACTATGAATTTCAATCAAGTGCAAAAATGGAGATTAGTTTTGGAAAAGATCAAAAAGGTAAAAAAAAAATGCATTTCTGCAATATGTAGGATATTTCCTACATGTTTCTCAAAGAATCTCCAATGTGGTGGCGGACAGGCTTGAGACAAGGCAAAAAAAACTGTCCAATTAATGGTGCTTGTTGGCATTTTGCAAGTTCATCACTGCATCTACGCTTCCTATTATAAACCAACTTGCATGGAGTTATGGGCTATCCACCTTTTGGCATATAAAGATATTCTCAAACAAATCATTTTGACTGACACACACTGACACACATATTATGTGTACTGCATACATATGCTTTTTGTGTGTGCGCACATCATGGGTAAAATATGCATAATATACGGGAAGCGATTTAGTGTACAATTAGCATGAAAGACTCCATTTATGCCACATTTAACAGAAACATAAAAAAGATCACTTTACCAATTTCACTAAGTTGTCATTTTCTATACATGAGACCCCCTCCGTCCCATTTTCAAGATACAATATTCCTTTTTGGCTTGTCCCAAAAATATGAACACTTTCCTAAATTAAACTCCACCAACTTTTTATTTCCAGCTTTATACCTTATGACTTTATCTATCATTTCACCTTTCTACTCCTTGTGGATCCAATCTGCTTTTTCTTATGTTTTGGAGATTAAAATTGCAAAACAACAACTTTATCTTTTATTTTCTTAAAACGTGCGCCAAACCCAAATGTATCTTACATAACGGGATGGATGGAAACACAGATATTCTAACCTGAGTGATCGCTCCGAAGCTCCCGAGCGTGATATTTGGAATAAAATATGGAATGCTCAGTTTCACTTTTCTTGGTAAGGCAACCAGAAGATGCCCAAATTCCTGCAGAAAATCAACTCTTTCAAGTACAATTAGAAATCAAAAGAATTGTTAAAACCTTAAAAGCATACAAGTATACAAGGGAAGGATACGTATTTAGAATCACCACTGAAAATCCTTGGGCGTCAAAACAAGGAGAAATATATACTTACAGTTGTACACATTATCTGGAGCAAAGAAAGTTGTTCATTGTACTAAACATTGTCTGGAGAAATATATACTTGCAGTTGTACAGTGTACACATTTATGTAAAAAACTGCATCTTTAATAGGATGGATATGACATTGGCATGCACAACATAGGATAGGATACATAAAAGATGGGGGGATAGAACTAGCATGGTCAGGAAGTTTCTCATAGATGCATAAAATCAAACACAAATTGTAGAACTGTCACCCAATTAGAAGAAATATGCAACTTTTTCATTGAGTTCATTAAAGTATACCGGAGTATGCTTACAAACAAAGAATTTCAGAAACAGTGGGAAAAATGTAGTCTGCATTTTTAATTTGCATGCCTGAAAAAATAACGTAGAGCCTAATTCATTATAAACAACCACTTCATATTTTTTCAGGAATATTTCCCGGTTTCTTTCTCTGAGAGCTTTTCACCAAATTAAAATGCTTCAACCCTTTTTTTAATTCTTGAATGCTAATCACACATGACCGAACTCACTATAAGGACAGATATGCTTGAGGGGAGGTGGCACATGATTCTGGGCTTCTGGCAAGTGTAACAAATGCTTAAATAAAAGCATAGTAGAACAGTTAGAAGAAAACAACACTTTCACTTAGACTGCCTGAGGTTTTCACCAGAAAGAGCTGGATCTCCCCTGTATAAAAAATGTGCCTGAACATCATGGACCCATGGCCTTTTGGTCCCTACTTCACATCAGCCTAGAGTACATAACTGCATATTCAATTCTATAACCCTTTATATTGCAATTCCACTTCGGCCTTTGGTTAGGGATATTATTCTTTGTTAATATTAGTTTCCTATTAGTAATGATTAATAATTTAATATCATTTCTATTAATATTGTTGTTATTTCCTTATGATTTGGGCTCTTGTCAATTCTTGTGTGCCTTGAGCCTTGACTAGGTCAAGCACTGAATTCTACCTAAGGTTTATTTTGTTCTCTGTCGTAAACCATAGATCCAAAAGTTCTTGTTGGCTAACACTCAGAACAAAACCTTATCGTAAACATACATATGCAAACACTTCCTTCTAGTGTTAACACAGAGTCTAGTGTCATTTTTAAACAGCATGACTCCAACTGTGATAAATCAAACCTCAAAGCATCGTAGTGAAATTATTCCAAAGAAAAATATTAAGCTATGGTTTGAACATTGATTTCTGACTCAAGCCCAATAATCTTCAGTTAAGATGTAATTACATTATACCAACTAACTAACCTAGCTAAAAGAAAAAATTCTTACATGAAATAACTGCACTCCCAGGATACCATAAGCCAGGGGCAAAGCAGAACCAATGAAAGGTATTAAAAGCTCCATATCTGGTGGCTCAGTGGCATTTGGATCAGTAAAATACTTAACTATCTCGGGAGAAAGGCGATTAATCTGTTTTAGCAACAGTCACGATCAATTAGAGCACTTCTATTGAACCTTTGTGCACTAAAAATAATAAATGATACGGATATTGGCGTGAGGCGATCCTGTAAAAAATTAGCATACAATAAAAATATATGCAAACCTGAGATGCAATTCCTAGTTCCACAGAAGATCCAATTGTTAGAAGAAACAATATAACAGCAATTACATACTGCCATAAAGTAGTTTGGCCGGGCTCAGAAACCTCTCTACGCAGCATTCCAAAGCTGACTCTAGGCCCACCACGTGGATCTAGTCCTTCAGAATTAGGTTCTTCCACCATGAATAAGTTGTACTTATCACCCATAATTTCAAATAGCTGACTCTGAAGTTTGGCAAACACGTCCTCCCTCTTTCCCCTAAGATTTCCAATGAAAAGAGTACCCTCTCCCAGATCTCCAAATGGTTCCTCTCTTGTCACCCAGAAAGTGGAATAGCCAAAAAGTTTCTCTTTAATCACCTTAACATCAGAAGGATCAACTTTCTCAGGTCCAAGAAGTTCCATCAATTTGAAAGAATCTAGCTGGAAATTATTATAAGGTGATCCAGCAAGTGTTGGCTGCTGCAAAGGCCAAAGACAAATGGTTTGTTACATTGAAATAAATATATCTTAGAATCTTTTTATAAAAAGCATATGGTTTCCCCTTTCTGTGATTATCAACACACCAGTGAAGAAGCTTGTCTGATCTCTTACCAGATTCACTATTATACTGGTGTAGGGTTAGTTAAATCCTCTGATCATTTGGAACCCTTTCAATATTCTACAATTCCAGACCAAACTAATCTTATTTGCTACTGGTCAGCATACATATCATTCTCACATTTAAGTGTAAAAGCAGTTTTAATAGAAATAGTATTAGGCTAAGCTCAGTTTGTCCTAGCTTTATAAACTGCTTCACTTGACATCCGCAAATGGGATATACTTTATATGGAGTATTATTCATTTTAATCATATGACCAATAGGTATGAATCCTGAATAGCTTCTCTCAGAATTGCCATTTATCAATTTTTATCATCCTCACAGCGCTTGTGAAAAAGTCAAGAAAATGAGGAATAATCACACTGTGACACTGTGTCTCTTAATCTCTTACAAGATACACTATCACCCTGTGTTAAACTAATTCTGCTGATCATAACTTGAGTGTGAGTAGCCATTAGACAATAATTCAAGCGTAACTTTAAAAAACAATTTCGATAAAACTAATGTTGGGACGAAATCTAGTGTACCTTTGATTTTTTCTGTTTCATTATACGTCAGCAAATTGAATGCAGTTTATGTTACTATTCATTTAACCATTAAGTACCTATCCTGAATACTTACTCTCGAGAATGACCAATTATCCAAATTTGAATAATCTTCACACCGTTTGTGAAATCGTCAAACAAAAAAAGAGATGAGAAATGCTCACTCTTGAAGAAACAGACGCTAGAGAATTATCGGAATCCGTAGCACCGCCTGGGCCGCTCCTGTCCTCAGCGGTGCCGTCAGAAGCTACGGTGGTAGTCGTGGCTGTAGCAGTGCTGGAAGAGTTGTCCTTTTCCAACTTCCCGTCTCCGGTGTTCCCACCACCATTACTGCCGCTGGTGCACCTAATTATCAATCCGCCGAAGTTTCTCTTCGAAATTCTAATCACCTGAATTTTTTGCTTCAATGGGCAGATCGTGTGGTGATTCAACCGGAACCTCAGGTTTATTGGGCTGCAAAAGATGGAGCTTGTGAGCGTTGTTGTCATCGCATTGATTCTTCACTTCACACCTTCGCTCTTTAGCATTCACCTCACTGAACTACGAAGTATTCCATGAAGAAAAAATGTCATATGCGGAGTATTTTCCTAAAAATTAGATTTTCGGAAGCATACCTCAGAGGGGTGTTTGCCTGTTTGAAACTACTTCCTCCGTCCCGCTAAGTTTGGGACAAGAGGTGGTGGCACGGTTATTAATAAAAGTGGGTTTCTGTGGTTGATATTGAATTGATAAAGTAAGAATAAAGTTGGAATGATTTAGAACCACACAAACTTTACCAAATAAGGTATGGGACAATCTTAGTGGGACGGACCGAAATGGTAAAGTGGGACAATCATAGCGGGACGGAGGGAGTAATTTTTTGTTTCTTTTTTAAAGCACGAAGCATGAGAATCAATTTTCGGAAACTGATCTCCCTCAGCTTTTAAAAAAATTGATTCTAGTACTAAATTAGAGTATTAGAATAACTTCTGCATTTTCATCCAAACACTCCAAATTCTGCTTCTATTTCCTGAAGGAGCAGAAGCAGTTTTAAGAATCAGATCCAAACGCCCCCATAGTACCCATGCCCCAATTTGTACACACCTCTTACTTGTGGTTGTAGAGTTGTACACGGTCAACACAAATGCTAAAACTACCTCATTTTGTACCCTTTATGTTTGGGGTTCACAAAAGTAATGAATTAAAATGGAGCAATTAATTTAATTGGGTTGGGTTTTTGTGAGCCACAAAAAGTGTACCTCTAGCATTTCTCCACAGTAAATTTGTTTGAAAAAGATAGGATTTTTTTATCAAAATGTCTGTGTACATAGGCAGTGTACACTTTGTGTACAAATTCAGGGTACACCCAGCATTCCTCTATTTTCCTAACTTTTGTATTATTTAAAAGATTTTAAGAGTTTCTAGTTGAATGTTTGGTATGACAATTTTTAAGAGTTTCTTTAAAAATAAAAAGTCTTTTTTGAGATGTTACAGTAAGTAGCATCTAAGAAAAGTTTATTTCTTTTAACATTAATTAGTCTCAATAGCTTGTATGCCAAATACAACTAAATCAAACATTTGCCTTTTTATCAAACAACTATCACCTTTTTTATTTTACGATCTTCTAAGTCTATTAAAGTTAACGGTTACTAAAAAATTCATAAAACTACCTTTTTCGATTAGTTGTGCCAAATATACCGTTAGAGAGTGCGGAAATGAAGTGTTGAATAGGTAGACAATAACACTTGTTTGGGAGAAAAATTAAGAACTTTGTGAGGGTGTTATGAAGTCTTAGTAATTACCTTTTTAACACTGAAGAATGTATTGAATATTGAATATGGATTGTGGTGGATTTTTTTTTAATCCATGGACTTTTAAAGAAGTCAATGGATTTTTAAATCTATATACTTTTTTTTAGTTGCAAACAAATCTATATACTTAATTATGAATGAAGAGTTTTCTTCCGGTAGGTTCGTAGAAGTAAAAAACGAACCAAACAAATGTCACTCATCTTTATATAATATAAAGTAACAGTATTTGCATAGCAAATGGGGGGAAAACAATATACTACCTCCGTGGCTCCGTCCCGTTCAAAGGTTCACATTGCAAAACAATACGGTTATTTAGACAATAACTAGATATGGTAATTTGAGTACATTTTGAAAAGTAATATAACGGGGTCATTGATGATAATTGTGATGTTATAGATGCATTATTTGTAACACTTGATGATCAAATTTTCATTTAAGAATACTAATTGTATCGTAAAATAGAAATGAGAACCTTTAAACGGGACATCCCAAAAAGAAAAGTCGGAACTTTTGAATGAGACAAAGGGAGTATAAAGTAGAAACGTTGATACAAGTTTTGGAGGCAAAATTGTTCCAAACGAAGGATATAAATTTAAATTGTGTCTTTTAAATCTATACTCCGGTATGAGTTTTTGGACTAATTAAAAGAAAGTATTATTTGAAATTAAAAAAAATTAACACAGATTTTTAATATAATTGTAAGTCAATTTTATTTCCAAAATAGAAATTCATTTCTCATCCCACAATAGCAATTACTCATCACATTTATTCTGATTTTAAAATATCACAAATATCGCTATTTATAAATAAAAAGGTAATTACTCATGCATTTTCTAATAAATCAATTGTTCTTATTTCAAATAATACGTAGTAATAAATGAAGTGAAATGATTTGTACGGGTTTGGGGTTTTAAGAAAATAAAGGATAAAGCGGTTATTTAGAATGTTTTTACTTGGACTGTAATCTGTCCCAGACCACACCAGAACAGATCAAACTAGACTTGGATACTTATAAAAATACAAAGAAACCAGACATTATCAGACCAAGTCAGTTTAGACCAGATCAGACCAGACCAACAAATTACAGTCCGAGTAATTCTAAACTCCAACAAATTTGGTCCACAAAGACCAAAACGTAAATGATAAATAAAGTGGTAATGTGGAAATGTAAATAGTATGTGGAGTTTAATTTGGGAAAGTATTCATATATTTTGGATAACCTAAATTAAAAAGAAAGTGTCTCTCATAAAATAAAAGGAATGTATATTAATATTTATGAGTATTTATTTCCTCAATAGCAATTACAAAATCTTTAGGACATCTTTTACTTGCCTCATATATAGTCATTTTTATTACCTCATACAAATAGAAGAAAAGAAAAAAGATAAAGTGAAAGTGTAAAAACATGAATTAAACTTTAGTAACTCGAAAAATGCAGAATATACGAATAGTTTCAAGAATACAAAAATATAGACTTTGGCATTCCTAAATTCTCCACAACTTTTATTTATCGTTCTTCAAATTTTAACTTACTTTTAAAAAATCAATATAAAAAACATGCTAATACATGTCAAAAATTGATTGAAATGTCATATTGATAGATTTTTTAAAAGTAAACATACTTATACAATATGTTTTTAGTATAAGGAATTAAAGTGATAAATTGAAAATAGTAGAAGAAACTATTTGACCTTTTTCTCTTTTCTATTTAAAAAAATTGCTCATTACGTACCATTATACTCCATAATAGAATGTAATCTTAAACATGCTATGTGTGTGTTTGGCATTTAGTGGTTATGTTAGCGGGTTTTTAATAGCGGATTCAGTTAGCGGGTTTGGTTAGCGGAATAAGTTGGCCGGTTGCCAAAAGATGTTTGGTAATTTAGCATTTTGACCATAACAATTAGTAGAAAACGTCATATTTCAAAATGTTAATCCAAAACTCTCATATTTGTAGCGTTTTCATTTCAGTGTTTTCGTTCAAAAGGTTTAGACTGGATAACTATATACTAAACAACGTTTTCACTTATTGAAAATCCTAAAGGGAGTCAAACTGTCATTTTTAGCTGAAAGACCATTTTCCAAACACCCCCTATTTCTCTACTCTAGATATATCCCGGGCATCGCACGGATATTTCGTCTAGTTAGATATAAATGAAAGTAGTGTAGGGCTCAGATTTAATTTAAATGTCAAAACCAAACTTTTACTTTTGGCGCTAGGCTTTTCTGGAATACAACCTCCTAATAGAAAGTGTTATTCAGAGGCTCTGCACATGTGAAAGCTACTATTCTTCGTTGCCGACCTCCTACAATCGGAATACTTCTACCGGACCACAAACGGACAAAGCTCCATTCTTCATTGTCTACCATTAGAGTACCACCTCATGGAGGTACTCGCTTAAAAGCACCGGTCAAACTTCTTCCGTATTACTTCAATTAACTTTCCGTAAGTATTGTTTCTTTCCATTACTTCATATTTGAGCTCAATTATTTTACTTTAATTTATCTATGAAATCTTCTCATGTGTGGTATTTCGTAATTTAACCTAGACCTGTATATATAACTATATGTGTATCAAACGGTATACAGGTGGAAAAAAGTTCCATACAGTATTTTTTTAGTAGGAATACTCTGTATTTTGCTTAAACACACGAGTCTTGGTCAATGGTATTTCTTAAAATTTTCTATTTATTTTCAAAGTGCAGCTTAGTACGTTATGGAAGAATCAAATCCTGAAAACGCAACTGATATTATACCTTACCTAATGTTTGTTGCGATAAAAAACCACATGTTGAGATAATATTTGAACATATCGATGATGTTTATGACTTCTACAACGCTTATGCTAAAGAAGCTGGGTTTAGTGTTCGTATGGAATCAGTCAAAAAGGACAAACAAGGGTTTGTAAAGTCAAGAATATATACATGTAATAAACAGGGCTTTGAAAGAAAACCAATGCATAATATATAAAATGAAAGGTGTAGAACTGGTACACGTACGGGCTGTCAAGCAATGCTTGGTGTCGGGAAAATTAAAAAAGTTGGAGTCTTTCAGATATATCGATTTGAGAAAGCTCATAATCAGTTAATCACTTGTGTGTAACACCAAGCAAGGTGCATCGGTTAAAGTCTTATCGTAAAGTTTCTGAAGCAAAGAAGAAGCTATTTTCTACCCTCCAATCCAATAATATTTCCATCCCTCAAGCAATGGGTATATTCACTTCAGAATCCAAAGGTCTTGATGACATAAGTTTCGTGGAAACAGACTTACGAAATCATGTGAGGAATGCAAGACAAAAGGTAAAGGGTAAAGATGCACAAATGTTCTTGAAACATTTCCAAATTGAGAAGGAATACAGTCCATAATTTTTGTATAAAATCAAAACTGACAATGATAAGAAGGTTGAGTTGGCATTTTGGGCGGATCCTACGTGCAGGCGCTCGTATCACTTTTTTGGTGATGTGGTTAGTGTTGGTTCAATCTATAACACCAATTCATATGGCTTTCCATTTACGCCTTTTGTTGGTGTTAATCATCATTTCCAGTCAATCTTGTTTGGATGTGCATTCATGCATAAGGAGACATTTGAGTCATATGTATGGGTATTAGAGGCATTCTTGGAAGCCAAGCCTGGTCCGCCCCCGAAGGTGATAATTATTGACCAAGATTCTGCATTAGGCAAAGCAATTTCTCACCTCCTTCTGATGAACTACCACAAGTATAAATAGAGCTTCATTTTATTTAATTAATGGTTGTTAGCATTGCCTCTTCAATAATATTGTCATTAGTCCATGTTATTTGTTAAAAATTATTATGTTTAAATCTCTTTGCCAATGTTTTCAAAACTCTTTGTACCAATGTTTTTAGGCTCTCTAGACGGTGTTTAAGAAT